TATATATATATATATATATATATATATATATATATATATATATATATATATATATATAAAGTATAAGAAAGGTGAAAGTAAACAATTATTACACGTGATAAAGTTGGATACAGAAAATATATATGTAGATATACTAATAAATAGCACACAATATACGTTAGCGAGAGTTGTATAATTGTTGAAAAAATTTCATTACTAAAATATCATATACAAAATCATACAAGATAATCAACTGCGAAAAAAATTTATTATAAAGAGCAATTTTCGAAAGGATATACATAAACGTACTAATTAATATTTTAATCAAAATGCCTGCCTTTTTGTTGTGCTATTTATGTTATTCTTATATTATTAAGTTAATTAAGTTAATATACGTACAAATATATAAAGAATTCGCGTTTCTATCCGCTTTCGTCTAAAAATTATTATCCGATCGATACATATTATCAATAATTTGTATTGTAGTTACGAAAAACCAATCTATTAGCGCAGGTGTCGCTAAAGCACTAACTTTGTGCATAACTTTCTATAAGGAAAAAGGATTTAAAAACTGGACAATATGAAACAAAAAATAAATATACGAATTTAAAGGGAGGATCCCGTTTGCCTACAAATTAATTGCCTACAGTATCGATTGCTGACATTCAACTTATCCACATTTCATTTGCACACAAAAATTATTGCCTACAGAACAATTACCTACAAGATGTATTACGCACAAATAAAAAATTAAAAGCTGAACGCTCGTTTGCACATACGAAACTTGCGCACAAATCATATTGCACACATAATATTATTGCCTACAGTATGATTGCCTACATGCTCTATTACGCACAAATAAAAATTAAGAGACGAATGCACAAAAATTTGCGCACAAAAATTATTGCCTACAGTAAGATTGCTTACAAGTTCTATTGTGCACAAATAAAAATTAAGAGACGAATGCACGTTTGCGCATAAAAATTATTGCCTACAGTAAGATTGCTTACAAGTTCTATATATTGTGCACAAATAAAAAATTAAGAGACGGACGTACGTACGTTTGCACACACCAAACTATTGCGCACAAGCCACATTGCGTACATAATATTATTGCCTACAGTACGTTTACCAACAAGCTCTATTATTAAGTTAATTAAGTTAATATACGTACAAATATATAAAGAATTCGCGTTTCTATCCGCTTTCGTCTAAAAATTATTATCCGATCGATACATATTATCAATAATTTGTATTGTAGTTACGAAAAACCAATCTATTAGCGCAGGTGTCGCTAAAGCACTAACTTTCTGCATAATTCTGCACAAATAAAAATTAAGAGATAAACGTACGTTTGCACACAAAAATAATTGCCTATAGTACAATTGCCTACAAGCTATTCCAGTAAACATGCATGTCTAAAAGATATCGAACATAACATAACATTTTGTTGCATAAGACATCTTTTAGATATCTTTTTGACATCTTTTAGACATGCATGTTTACTGGGTATGTGACTGGGGGGCTTCGTCTCCCAGAGCCCCCGTATCACGGGAGATGGGGGCTATAGTCTCTTGTGCTTAAGCTAAAGAGTGAATTTCTCACAAAAAACTATAGCTCCCACCCCACCGAGATACGGGGAGTCTGGGGGACGAAGCCTCCCAGTTATATAACTAGAGACAGACGGTATAACTGGATAATTACCAATTTTTTAAACGTACGTTCGTCTTTTAATTTTTATTTGTGCGCAATAGAGCTTGTAGGCAATGATATTATAGGCAATTATTTTTGTGTACGTTTGTCTCTTAATTTTTATTTGTGTGCGATAGAACTTGTTGGCAAACGTACTGTAGGCAATAATATTATGTGCGCAATAGTTTGGTGTGTGCAAACGTACGTCCGTCTCTTAATTTTTTATTTGTGCACAATAGAACTTCAAAGCAATCTTACTGTAGGCAATAATTTTTGTGCGCAAACGTGCATTCGTCTCTTAATTTTTATTTGTGCGCAATAGAGCATGTAGGCAATCATACTGTAGGCAATAATATTATGTGTGCAATGTAATTTGTGCGCAAGTGTCGTGTGTGCAAACGAGCGTTCGGCTTTTAATTTTTTATTTGTGCGTAATACAACTTGTAGGTAATTGTTCTGTAGGCAATAATTTTTGTGTGCAAATGAAATGTAGATAAGTTGAATGTCAGCAATCGATACTGTAGGCAATTAATTTGTAGGCAATCGGGACCCTCCCGAATTTAAACATGCAGCACATATTTTTTACTTATTTCTCGGTAGCCACAAAAAATATCGATGTGATTCAAAGAAAACTATGTTCTCCACAATATATCCTGTTGGAATTCAGAGTTTACAATAATACTGATATTACTAATACTATAATAAAACTGTTAATAACGATTCGTTAAATAAGCCGAGGAAGAGTGCGTACCTTTCGATGTCGCTGACAGCCATATTACTAACAATTACATTTTTCACACATTTCTCGACAACCATCATTTTTCATCAGCCAGTTACAATTTTATACAAATTGATATTGATACAAATTACAATTTGCTCCTTTTTTGACGAGAAAACAATGAAATGCATATGGTTAAACGATTTTGAATAATCAATTTAGACAAATCATTTGTCCTCTTTTTTAATCTTTTCCATTGCGTGTAAACAATCAGAAATGATTGATTTAACAACATTTAATGCTTCAACTAATTCTTGAAGCGTTTGAGTTGAGTTTTCACCCAATAATGCTTATAATTCGGCATCTTCGAACTTTTTTAGTTCATCTGAAGGTTTTTTGTCTTTCAAATCAAGATCACCACTTTTGAATCATCAAAACTGAGTACTCACGTGTTTTATTATTTATAGAAATGTCTAAGTTTTAAAATGACCAACTTTCCAAATATCTTTGATAGATTTGCGGTTACAGCCATATATGTATAGTGAACCCTCAAAACTAATCAAAACACCTAATATGATGCGCCATATTAACTATTAGCGGTCACAAATACGGTCAGTTTCAATAGCTTTGAATAAATAGTTCTTTTATTGAAATCCATGTTTTCACTAAAACATTGTTCAATTGGACATCCATGAACAGTAAACAAACACTTTTGTTATCTTATATTCATAAAATAAGTGAGCAAAAATATATAATTGTGTAATGCACGAGCAGAAATTGCTATATAACGATTACGCCATTACTCAGCCATTACTATGCGCTTACATCATCAGAGCGAATGATACGGGCAATATTTATAAATGTCTAAAGCGCACAGCGCTCTCAATGAAAGTACTTCAAACTCAACATAACCGACAGTACATGTCACCGGGAAACATGAAAATTTGGAGAATAAGATTTGCACCATTAAATATACCTCTTGAAAGAAGACTACAGACCTTGGCCGCCGCGACATGGATCTTCATAATAAATTTCGGTAATCACATCATAATAATTACCATGGTTTATCTTCTTATTTACACGCAGATACGCTACCTTGTTCTTCTGTATTTTCTCTGGATGTATTATGACTGGGACACTCGCAATTGCAATGGTCGAAGGTAATCCTCTACATTAAACTAAAAATAAATCAATAATCGAAGAATGTTTAATTGATGATTGATTTTAATAAATTCAATTAATGATCGTTTAATTGATGATTGATATGAATGAAGGAAATCAAAGATTGTTTAATTAACAATTGAACTTAGGAAATTTAATTAAGGCTATTTAGTTAACGGTTTTGATGCAAATTCAATTGATTAAATCGAGGAACGTTTAATTATTTGAGGTTATATTTAGTTTTGTGGATGATATTCATAACTTTTGGAACTTCGTGATATTGTCGAAGATGTCATTGATTCAGAAGTGCTAAATTTAAGGACCAGCGTTGAGATGTTACTAGTTATATTAAACGTAATTTGACAATCTTTGATTAAATCGATTGAATTTGCTCATATCAATCATCAATTAACCGGCCTTTAACACAATTTGTTAAGTTCAATCGTCAGTTAACCGGCTTGTAGTTCAATTTGCTAAGTTCAATTATTAATTAAACTTATTTTTAATGCCCTTTGCCTATTTTAATTGTCAATTAAACAGTCTTTAATTGAATTCGTCGAAATCAATCATCAATCAAATGATTTTTTATTAAATTTGTTAAAATTGATTGTTAATTAAACGGTCTCCAATTAAATGGATTTATATCATTAATCATTAATTAAACACGATAATAAATTAAAAAAGTAATTAATTACTCGTTTTATCCTAAATCTGTATTATACAAATCAATTAAACGCTAAAATACAAGTTTGTGTATTTGTGGTGATGGAATTAACGACTACAATAAATATTGTGTGCAATAATACATGGAAAAAACAATATGATTGATCCATATAGAAATCTGATTGTGCCAACCAGATATAGTACCATCAATAGTAAAATACGGAACAACTATTTATGTGGTTGCTGTAACCAAAGAACAATGGCTGAGTTACTTATGTTGAAGCACTGATAATACATGGTTAATACATGGTTAATACATGGTTAATACAAACGCGACTCATTACGCGGCAACTACAAATATATATTTACACACTCAGAACCAGTTTTCACATGTATACATCTCTAGCTGTAGTGAATTGCTCTTTTTTCTAACATCGCTGCTTTGCAATATAACATTGATTAATGCAACTATATCGATAATTAGCTTATCTATATATTTAGCTTGCAAAATAATCCCTTTACTGATTTCTGATTGCCACAACCAGATCACGTGCAACTTCATTGATGTAGTTGACATACCAAAGTAAGTCAAATCAACCATACACATAACTGTCATACAAAGATATGTAGAATGATGCAGCTATTTGCTTACAACTAAATATTTTTTGTTAGGTTATTATATAATATTATTTGTTAGGCATTACATCTTTTTTTTCCGTGTACTGTTTGCGTTTGCAAGCTGCATCAATAACGCGAACAGTCGCTATCATTAACTGATTCTTTCAGTAAAATTTTATTAATTGTAGTGCTATACTTATAATTAAACCACGAATTATAAGAACAGCCTTTCAGAAACAAATATACTGATTATACTTTAAAGAGAATTCTATAAATTTTTTCATCACTTTGCGAGGTAATCGAAACATAAAGACAAAGCAAATGAAAAAGCCACAAGAAATTTCATGATTAAAAACTTAACATATAGTGGGTAAGAAAAATCTTCGTACATATTATTGTAATGTAACTTACGATTGAATGCGTATAAATAATAATGTTTTTGAATTCGGAGTTTAAAACATTTAGTTAATACAAACAAGATATTTATAACAATTAAACAAAATTAGGAACAAGAAAGTCTCCGTAGAAATAACTATCAACAAATATAAATATCAACAAAATCATAACTGACTTTTGCGGACATTGCAAAATGGTACAGAACTTTTCTGTTCACTTTAATTCATATTATACCTTGACGAGAGCTTCAAGGATTATTTTAAGATATCCTTTATATTAGTCATTGTAACTGCTCATTATAACTGCTTATTTGGAATGATAACGACTTCGACCTGTATCGATAAGAGACGTTTTTAGCGAAGGTTGAAACTATTAATATTTAAGGAGAAATACATTTTTTTAACAATCATTTAAATAGTCATTTCACATGTATATAGTACATATTTTAAAATGACTTCTGTCTTATTGTTTATTTAAAATATATAACGAGCTAGACTTCGTAAAATGAAATCTCTAAATATAGAAAAATGTTTACACTGTTCAAATGATTACCTCTGAACAATTTATCTGAAGTCAATGAAATAAAATTTTTTTAAAATTACATAGAAATGACTTTGTATATAGGAGTTTGAGAAATGTCTTGTTTTGACAAAATATCAAATTTTATTTATAAAAAAATTATATATTTCAGTCAATTTTTGTATTGCTTTTAATGAGTTTTGGAAAAAAAAAATCCGTATATGAGTAAACAGAAAAAAATTCGATTACAAAAAATTTGCGGCAAGATAAAAGTAAATCAGATGAATAGCTTTCTAAATATCTTTCGGACCAGATTTAAAAAGATTATCTTAAGAGACGTGCATTTAAAATGGAACTATATTACGCATTTAAACAAGCAAAACGTTTAAACTTGTGTATGTAGCATATATATTTACAAAAAGATATAATAAAGTAAACGATTATACGTGTTTTTTTAAATATGTATCCATTTACTACCTTTGAGTCCGTTTGTTCGTACATCTTTAAACAAAAACGAGAGATAAAACGAACTAATAACTCTTTAAACAAAGAGTTATTAGTTCTTCTTGACAAAATGAAGAAAGCCAATAAGCAGTGATATCACACCGCACGTAGGCTTTTTCCTTCGTATAATTAGTCATAATCTGTATTTAAGCATAATCAATCAAAAAATGTTTAATTGATGATTGATTTTAATGAATTCAATTAAAGACCGTTTAATACGATTGATATGAATAAACGAAATCAAAGGTTGTTTAATTAACAACTGAACTTAGGAAATTTAATTAAAGCTGTTTAATTGACGATTAATACAAATTCAATTGATTAAATTGAGGGACGTTCAATTGTTTAAGGTTATAATTGGTTTTGTGAATGATATTCATAACTTCGTAATATTGTGGAAGGTGTCAATGATTGAGAAGTGCTAAATTTAAGGACCGGCGTTGAAAGGGCACTAGTTATACTAATCATCCAAACGATCTTTAATTGAATCCATTGAATTTGCTCATATCAATCATCAATTAACCGACTTTTAACACAATATGCCAACTTCAATCGCCAGTTAAACGACTTTTTATAAAATTTACTAAGTTCAATTATTAATTGAATCTATTTTTAATGCCCTTTGCCTATTTTAACTGTCAATTAAACAGTTAAATTCGTTGAAATCAATCATCAGTCAAACGGCTTTTTACTGAATTTGTTAAAATCGATTATCAAGTAAACGTCTCCAATTAAATTGACTTATATCAATTGTTAATTAAACACGATAATCAATTAATAAAGTAATTATTTATTCGCAATCCTGAATTTGTGTTTTACACAAATTCATTAAACGCTATAATACAAATACAAATTTGTGCGTTTGTGATGATGGAATTAACAACTTTAATGCGCGTTGTGTGCAATGATAATATCTGCGTTTGCAAGCTGCATCAATAACGCGAACAGTCGTTATCATTAACTGATTCTCTCAATAAAATTTTATTAATTTTAGTGCTATACTTATAACTAAACCACCAATTATAAGAACAGCCTTTCAGTAACAAATATACTAATTGTACTTTAGGGAATATTCTATAAATTATTTCACCACTTCATGAGATAATCGAAACACATAGAGATAAAGTGAAAAAGCTACAAGAAATTTCATGATTAAAAAACTTAACACGTAGTTGGTAAAAAAAATCTATATTTTACTCGAAATAATTTATTGTAATGTAACTTACGATCAAATGCGTATAAATAATAATGTTTTTGAATTGGGGACATTTAGTTTTGAATTTAAGACATTTAGTTAATACAAACATAAGACAAATTTATAACTATTAAACAAAATTAGGTCCAAGAAAGTCTTCGTAAAAATAACTATCAACATATATAATCAATAAAATCATAACTGACTTTTATACAATTTATAACTAAACATTGATAAGAACACACACAAACAATGTAAATAAATATTATTACAATTAAATCTTAAAATTTTACAGCTGCAGAATTTTTAATCGCGCTGTAACGAAGATTTGACTCATTGTATCTCAGCTAAATAAATATTATAAAATAGAAAAATATTTGATACACCCTATGAAATATATTTTTCAGTCACTTTAGCACAATACAATCGCGCAACGAAGGTATGTCCCAGAACAACTTTCAAAGCTCTCATAGAAGCATGTTACGAATTTATATTAATTATTAATTTAAAAAAATTGGTAGATGATCACTTGCGATAATATGTTAATGTTATCTAATTAATAAAAATCTACAAAGTTATTAGGAAAAAGGTAGATGTTTTTGTTTAATTTCACCTAATGTAAAAGTATACGACAGATGTCACTACTCATTTACTATATCTCGCATAATTATTCATATTCTTCGATATTTACTAGTCGTAGAAAACGACTTCAACCTGCAGCGATAAGAAACAGTTTCTGCGAAGGTTAAAACTATTAGTATTTAAGAACAAATACATTTTTAAATAGTCATTTCGACGCCATGACCTATATCAATTACGTACTTCTTGCGCACTGAATCCTACTTTCCTACTTAATATTCCATTTCACGTTTACTTACGCTCATTCCTAAGTAATTTCCCCTCTATCTGACTTCCATATTTAATTAAATACACTAAAATCATTTCAAACTCACGCACCACGTTAATCAGGCATTAAACTTGCACATCATCCGACCAAATCATGACCAGTCATAGTTGTGTAAACAATTATTCGTGTTGTTATCAAATATACGTGTATACTCCCTTAAAGTAAATCAATAAAAATGTTTCTGATTAAGTCAATAAAAATTATATTTCACCGATAATTAGTGAATATTCACTGATTTTTAATAGAAATATTCTCATTTTACTTTTTTATCTTATGTCTCACTAATTAGTAAAAATAACATTTCACTGCAAAATCTGCACATTACAACTTTGTTATAAACTGTGTCAACTTTCAACGTTTATGGCGGTAGAATTGTTGATTTCCATATAATTTGGATGTAATGACGTTGTGTTTGCAAACTGCCTTAATAATAGTTGCTACTATAAATTGATTTTTTCAGCGAGATTTTATTTTTTGCAATGCTATATATACATTTTTATCTAAACCACTAGTTATAAATATATTATTTTAGTAATTAATATATTAATACATATATTAATATTAATATATTAATACATTTTAGTGAAAAATACATTGTAGTTTAAAAAGTACACTGAGGGAAAATGTATGATACTTGAAACTATAATGGCACAGTAAAAAGATTATAGTTAGAAATATTATTTTTATAGTAAATTTCAGCATAATGTTTGTAATATTTACAATATAAGCATAGTATAACTGACCATGTAAAACTTTTACCAAGAATTATAATCATTTGAAATAAAAAATATATGGTTACAATATAAAAATATAAGGTTACAAATATTGAATGATAAGAGAAATTAATTATTTTATATAGTCAATACAATTGGAATATTTGGAAAATATAGGTACATATAACTATATTCCCAAAGCGTGCTTTATATACATATAGTAATAAGATGGTGACTATAAATCTGTTTTAATTCTGCTATATCTTTATGTTTAGATGAACTATAAATATATGTTTGAGGCCAAAATGAACTATAAAATATAGTGAGATTATAGTTATTCCAACTATTTTTTTCTCTCAGTGTACATATTACAGAATCCGTTTAAACGATTAAACGTTTAGTTATACCAAAACAGTTTCCATCAGGTGTTTCCTAAACGGATATATGCTAAACGTTTATATGTTGAAATATTCGAAGAACGGATCGAAGCGATAGTCCTAATTTAAAATCATCTTCAGTGAACCTTCAAATCACCTACGCACTTCGACAACGTTCCATAAATTCTCCTCTTTGTCAATCTTCAACGAATCGTTAAACAATCTTTCAAAATTATTCAATCAAAATATATATAACCTTTCAGAAAATGCAATAAAGAATTAATTTTTTTATTTCTACCGTGGTGTTAACGAATGGTTGTACTTTGTTTTTCAGCCCTTCAAAATGGACAGAATTTCTAAGAAATAATGCATTCTGGCGTTACTTTTATAACTACTTCCCCATGAAGTTGGTGAAGACGGTTGACTTAGACCCCACAAAATCTTATTTATTCGTTTGCATACCTCACGGTATCATAACAACAGGAATATCGACCGCGTTCGGAACGGATATACTGGATTGTAGAAAATTATTTCCTGGACTGGATATACGTGTGATCATTCACCATAAATTGTTTGAAGTACCTGTTATGAGGGAATTCTTAATTTCGATTGGTAAGAAGAGCCAACATTTTTCATCTCCGTTCACTTTCACGCTTAAAGACCAATGAGTCAATGACATACTCGGTCTTTCCAAAATCGATGTAATATTTTTCTGTATATACTTATTTTCAAAAATAAAAACTGTATAAACTTATTTTGAAAAAAAACATTTGTTATAACGTTTTTAAAAGCAAGTTCCATCACAACGAAACAATTTAATATTGTCTTCAGTTGAAAATATTTTTTCTGATGCAACGGATGTCGCGGGAATTAATAAATACTTTTTTACAATCGAGTCAGTTGTGGAAATTGTTTTTCACGTGATTTCCAGTGAATATAATAATATAATAATATAATAAATATAATAATATAATAAATATTTTACTAAGTGGTCGTTATAATATTTACCATAGCAACACCGTGTATAAATTTCATAGTCGGTAATGTAGGCAGTCTCACATGGTTTTAAAAACGTCATTCAACAGAAGTCATAAAGACGTCTAAAATATAATGCCTAAAAGACATCAGAAATCAAATGTCATTAAATTAAAAAAATATGTTGCATTAACACGCACAACTGTACCAAACTTCTTTAATTAATAACTAAACGTGTACATAGTTATTTGGAAAATAGTTTGTTTAGTTCGACCTAATATACAAGCCAAATTGTAACAACCTAATATACATAATAATAAATATAGAATAAATAATAAATATAGAAATTGTAATGACTATAATCATTACATACAGGTTGCTGCTCTTCTAGCGTGGAAAGTATCAGGTACTTGTTGTCAACACCGCCAGAGAGTCCATTCACTGGAAGAGCCACATTACTTGTAGTCGGCGGTGCTGCGGAATTATTCGAGGCGAAACCAGGCACATATCGTACCATAGTGAAGAGGAGGAAAGGTTTCATCAAATTAGCGTTACAACATGGGTAAAAATGATCACTTCTACATATATAATAATTTTCAAAGGAGTAAACAAATCGTATGTGTATGCATAAAGAAAAACAGAAACATATGGCTATAAAGTCGAACTTAATATAACTTAAACTTAAAATATCTAATATTTATTTTAATTCAGCACAACGTTAGTTCCCGTATTCACTTTCGGCGAAACGGACTTGTTCAATCAATTGCACCAGAAGGAAGGATCATTCTTTAGGCGTTTCCGGGATTATATTTTTAAATTAAAATTAATACCCACTATATTCTGGGGTAGAGGATACTTTCAATATTCGTTCGGACTTATTCCTAATCGAACACCTATCACCGTAGTCGGTAAAGTATCTTTACTATATTCGCAATTATAATAGCATACATTACGCTCAAAAAAATTTATATATAAATTTGTTCATACATGGCCACATATGATCATATATAATTATATTGAAAAGAATATTGTTGTAAAGATACAATTAAAGTAAATGTTTATATTAGTCCACGATATCGACGTTTGATTAAATCAAATTATTTTCTCCTTTTCTCATTCAACAGTATTTGTTTTATATATGGATATATATTAAAGTTATATATGGTCATATATAAAGTCACATATATATACAAATTGCACATATAATTATATGTAATCATATATATTTCTATATTATTATATATGAACTTTTTTTCTCAGGATGCTTTAAATTGTCAGAATTAAAGAAATTTTAATGAAATTTGAAAGAAAGAATTTATTTTCAATTAAGAAAACATATATGTATATTTTTTTTTAATAACTTTTATATATTTATAACCAATTATATTGCACATGCATGTCAGTAGAGGCTTTCAATTCTGACAACTTGAAGCATTGCAATTTTATTCAACAAAATTGGAGTGAAAACCGATTTATAATTGATTATATATTCTTCAATATTTTAGTTGGAGGTCCTATCGAGTTACCAAAAATAGCAGAACCAACAGCAGAACAGATCAACGAGTACCATGAAAAATTCATACAACAACTGATTAAACTATTCGAGACGCACAAGTACAGTTATTTGAAAGATCCAGAGAAGATTGTTGTCGAATTAATATAATTGATCTGAGATATAGAAGTATTATAAATTTACAGAATATTAATGGACGTTCAAACCATTAAATAGTGAGTTTATGCTCTTTTGAGAAGCTCAAACAAGAAAAATTGTCAATTGCTCGATTTGGCTTCCGTACAGAAAAAGAAATTCTACTCGTGTAGCTGATTTTTTATCTGTATATTAGATGAAAACTCGATTGTAAGAAAAATCAAGAAAAATTCTTTAAAGTATTTTCATCCACAGTCAATTGATCTCAGTTACTTCAATCGAGGAGTAACGAATATTCAGACGAATGTTTTCGGTTGTGATAACAGAGATATCGTTTTTCGTTACCGAGATTTTTCTCTCTCGTTTAGTCTTTATTTTTTCACATGAATTGAAATTTTTTTGTTACGTGCTGGTGCCATATCATTCATGAATTTGAACATGTTACCAACACGAAACCATAGCTGCATGTATCAAAAGTTTCTTACGAAGCAAATAATATTTTTCTCTGTATAGAAGAAAAGGTTTCACTCCGAAATCCGAAAGAGATTTGCTTCTGCAACTTTTTCAAAACGAGCTTCGAATGCAAGAAAATATATGTTGAAAGAATGTTTCTAATGTGAAATATAAGTACGCTATTATTCCATAAGAACACGTGTTTTGCTGCGTTTGTATGTACTCTGGTATATTCACGTAATATTACAAATATTACAAATATCACAAAAATATTACCACTATATTGCAATATTAATATAATATTCGCGTGATATTGTAATATTACTGCAATATTTCAGTAATATTACGTGCTATGTGGAAAATAATCTTATTGCGATTACTTTAATATTAAGTATATAGTCTGGAAGTAGAATCGTATGAAAATATGATCAAAAGTTGAAAAGCAACACTTTGAAAGATAAATTTATTTATTTTAACTCAAGCATTTTATAAAATACAAACAATTATTATAAGATAATAATATATTATATAGTGACTTAATGATATACTATATAGAGTATGCTCTATTTATTATTATTTTGGTCTGCCAAAAATAAAATTATTTAACTCATAAATTTTATAAAATAAAAATTAAATTAAATAAAAATAATAAGCAACATATATAGTGACGGGGATATATAGAACGGAGAAAACGGCAACAAAGTCCGCTCTCTTTTAATGAGAACTGTTTTGACAACCGACAAGTGTATCTACACGGCCGATACACAGACGGCGTTGGTATAGCGACGATAAGAGACAAAATGTGAAATTAGTAATTACATAAATACATTTAAATACAAGATACATTTATATTAAGTAATTAATTACAAAGTTAAAGATACTTAATCATTTAGTATTTAAATACTGTATTTAAATAAAATACATATTTAATTATGTATCTCAGGTACTTTAAAATATGTATCTGCCCAACCCTGCCACTGTATATTTTAATAGTTAGGATAACTTTTAGTTTCAGTTGCCCGAAAAATAAGTAACATATGGGAACTTTTTTGGAGAAAGCTGGAAAAGTAACATACTAATTTGTAAATTGACATATATAATTTATTAATTAGGAAGAAATATTAAAAATAAAATAGTTGTTTGGAAGCGTCGTACTTCAAATTCAAAACGCATTGTTCTCGAAACTATGTTTCCAAAATTGACGTGTAAGATTTTCGAAGACTATTGAACCGATTACCTTCAAACTATCCACACATTCTCAATACATGTGTACTGAGGTTTCATCAGATTTTACGAATAATTGAAAATTCGCAAAATTACGTCAACGCAAGATGAAAGATGAAACATATTTTTCTCATCGAAAAAAGTAATCTCTCTCGCAAGCACATACGTAGTTAATTAATTTGATAGTCTTTGAGAAATTTTGCATACTAATTTTGAAAACATAATTTTAAGAAATATGCATTTGAAATTTTTTAGATACCTTAGTTTTTTTTAAACAACCAGTAAATTTTTAATATTTCTTTACATTTATATCATATATAATTAAACTATATTTATAAGTTCTTCGCGAAACACAAATTACAATTAGATTTTTATTTTATTTTACCTATGGAAAACAGTCACTAATTTTATTAGCTTTTATCGCATTTTAATATCTGTGCTTGACTTTTTTAATGCCCTTTTTGTATTTTTGATTTATTTTATTTGTTCAAAAAGTTATAAAATTGTAATAAAAATATCTCACAGATGTGAAAAAATGTTAAGTATATAAAGTATATTATGTTATAAAGTATATTATGTTATAAAATATCTAAAAACTAATTGCAATAATATTAATAAAAATGTAATAAACAACAAAAATATATAATATTATGTTCTAAAAATTCATATAAAAAAAAAACATTTTACGAAAAGCCCATAGAATATTATCAAAAACTCATACACTCTAAGCTTTTGAATCCTAAAGAAAAGTTTCTGTCTATTTTCTCATCGAGATATTTCAGCGTGTAGTAATTGTTGAAATTTTACTTCATTTTTATTGAATGTTGTTTAACTTTGACCGAATTTACTTAAATATAGTATTGTCACAACTATCCACTTATCTCAAATAATAACAACTTTAATCTATGGTGATAAAAACAAAAGTGAAACAAATTAACTTTAAAGAACGATTATACTTTACCTTTCAACCTACCAGTGTGGATGAAACTTGTGAGAAATAATGTACTCTGACGTTATTTCTGCAATTATTTCCCTATAAAGCTGGTGAGGACAATTGACGTAGGACTTGCGAAATTTTACTTGTTTGATTACGGCATAGAATTTTAAGGATTGAAATAACAAATGCAATTGAGACAAAAATATCGGACAGTAAAAAATTATTTCCTGGATTAGACACATTTTTAATTAGCAGTTGAAAGTGCCTTGCTACAGGGAAATCATGTATTTGTTCGATAAGAAAAGCTTACATTTTTCATCGCCGTTTATTTTCTTGTTTAAAAATCGAGGAATCTCTCTTTCTTTGATCCCAACGATATATTAGATTTTCTCGAAATCGATGTAGAAAAGAAAGTGGGAATATGTGGATTGGATAATATTCAAATAAGGTTAATTTCTTTAAACAATTACTGCGATCTGTCATTAACTGAAATAAACATAACCATTGGGGTCCTTATCAGCGATCAAAGAGGTCTGACATCAGTGCTACCCCAGCAAACACAATAATAGAACAGTTACATCGTAATATAGCGGAATGTAACGTTCCAAACAACATAATGTCTAAGATCGGGACATAAGACATCTTAAAGATCATCTTTAAGATGTCTTTCAAATGATTTACGTATAAATGTCTTTAAGATGTCTTAAAGATTATCTTTAACACGTCTTATGTCCCGATTTTAAACATTATATTGTCTGAAGTGTAATATAACATGTTTGTTACTTGTAACAAATACGTTAATTGTAATTTTCCACTCAAACGATATTGCAGCTATATAACAGAAATATAACGTGTTACTAAAACGTTAATGTATAAAACTTTATGTAGCTGTTATATACATTGTTAAAATATTACGTAGCTGGAATATAAATTATTATTCCCCAGCAATTATAGGTATTCTATGCAGAGATGCATAGATTACATTAATTGTATGCAGAGATTACAAGCTATCACTCAAATATCAAATTAATTTGTAAAAAAGTATGCTTTTAAAAATATTATAATTATATATTTTGTATCAAAAATAATACTTTTAGTAAAGATAATAATATAAAAGTCTTGCCATTCTAAATTAATAATTTTAAAAGATCCCGCAAAACATATGGGAAAAGTAGTTTCAGCCAAATTGTCTAAAAATTGAATATGTTGCAATTTTTAAAAATACTTTTTAGAAACCAAAAAAAAGGCGTAGCCAGAAAAAAGTTTCGGGAGAACTGCAGCCCTTTCAGCCCTTTTTATTTTTAATAAGCAAAGAAAAGGTCATTCAAAAAATTTTTTCTCACACTTAGCGTAATCCAGAAAATTAATTTCGGAGGGGGGATTGCAGCCCCCCTCTGGCTACGCCACTGATATATACTGTCCACATCGTATTAAACTTCAAATAATAAAACTTGTTTACTTATATCTCTCCGCGAAAGAATTTATCTGCGAGCGAACGAAGTACTTAGCCGCTGAGTCTTGTATCCGACATTGTACGAATGACAATATCATTCTGCGGCCGCGTGCAAAGAGAGAGAAAGAGAGAGAGAAGAGAGAGAGAAAGAGAAGAGGTAGTCTCTCACGCGTTCACACACACAAATACAGTACATATAGACATTCAGCTTCTCGAAACCACAAAGGAGACATTTATCTCGCTACCTGTGAGCCCATGATTGCCCAAATATCAAGGTCCACAAATAACGACTTAAGAACGCAACGAGACATTTCGCAGAAAGCGAAAACAAGAGATACTGATCGTGACTCGAGCGAATTTGCAGGTCCATAAACAGACAAAACTTGGCTAGATTGTGTAAACTTTTAGTTTCCTGCTGTAATGCGGACAATCCCAATGACCCTTGCTATGACGCGGATACCCCTTTTGAAGGTTCATCCATACTATAAATCTGCAAGTCAATCTCAACCCAAAGTCAAATATGTTGAATTATAGACGGAAGAATATTAACTATAGAAATCTACCGCGTTTATCTCATATTTAGAAAAAAAACTGTTAGTACCTATAATAATATAGGATTTCATTTCTTCGATTTATCTTTTCTTTTCTTATAGAGAGATAGTTTTTTTCTACTAACAATGATTTCCGGTACTGTACAAGGCGGCAGCTGGTTTTTCTGTACTTTGTTTCTATACTATTTCTTGAATACTACTGTGGCGGGGGGAAGGGGAACATTAACATATATAAAAGAAGACCTCTATCATGTTTGCATAGTCAGTCACAATAATTAATTGTCTGAGACATTGTAACTACGAAGTTCTGAAATATAGGATATCTAGCCCCAAGTTACTTTGCAAGATATCGCAAAATTATTTCATATTAAATGCGTAGTAATCATTAAATCGGTACTAAACATCTATAACATATGTTACACATTGTTAGAGGAAAAGAAAGTAAAGACAATATATTGGACAGTGAATGTATATTTTATCAACAAAGTGATCATCTATTCGCGAATACTATCAAATTTACATGTAATAAACAATAATGTTGAAAAATTGCGGATACAATCACATATCCAAGTAAAATATAAAATCATGATGAAAATCAAAATAATAAGAAAATAATCGGATCTTGATTTTCTGCTTATTTTGTGCCGTTTTAGCTCGTCTGAAAAGTCAAGCCTCAGAACCAGTTGACATTGTAATAAGCCTCAGTTGACATTATAATAACTGTGAAGCGCTTATCAATAGCCGAACAAAATTTTATATGAATAACTTAAACTTCATATAAACGGCCCTAAAGCTGAGTGATGCAGTTATTAATCCCGCAGTCCTGCGGGCGAGTTGGAGTGGAAAAGGGAAGTATAATAAGTAAATGTAGTCTCGAAACCATTTCCAAACTGAAAGTAATTCCGAACGTTGTTATATATTAACTAAATTTCTTGTTGTCTCGCTTGTATTACTTAAATTCATAAGAACACAACTAAATAAATATTACGATAATAAATTTCACCAGTCTCGTAGTTTTTGTACGGTCTGTAACCACGGAATTTATTTTCTATGGAATACTGTTCTCGAGGAACATACAAAACTCTTTGTATGTTATTTACGCTCTCTTCTGCTTTATTTTGTGACGCAGTGGTGAAAAAAAACGGACATTTACGATCTTGTGTTGCGATGAAAATATCTAACAATGCACTCCCTACACTAAATTCTGCTTGAAATGCAATAATAATACTTGCTTGCTTATACAAATTTGTGCACACATAATCCTCATATGACACACGTGCATTTTGAAGATAAAGCTGCTTTTTTGCAATGCAACAATGACTGCAAACATCGTAATATTTATTCCACTCACAATCTATTTCTGGTTCTATCAATATAACTCTTAATTCCTTAATATTTTTCAAATATTTATATATATTGCAAATATGTAAGAAAAGCTCCCATGATGGTAAACCCGTTATATCTATTGAATTGACACCTATGATATGTACGATAAAGCGATTTTTTGCTGGGCGTCCACTATATATACAATCCGGTTTATAAATCTGTATTTCTTCAAGTAAATGTACGAATTTCTGTAACCCGTAATATAGTGTCAATAGAGCTGACATAATCCGAATAGATGTAAGATTTCTCACTCCAATTTACCATAATTTTTCTCTTATAACTATTAATATATTGATTAATAAATGTAAACATGTCTTTAAACCCTTTTTCCACTTTGCATAACTTCATATTTTGTGGGTATGAGTTTATTTTAGTGTTGGTGATAATTGCGATATTTATATTCAATACTAGTTATGCAATACTAGTAAGTTGTTGCATATAGACAAGTGTTTTTCTTGAAAATTCAATTGGTGCTCGTCACAATAATTAGCGGAATAGCAGATGTTGCAAGTTTGCAGATTAATCTGTTGGTGACAAATAAATCATGATTTTGGGCACATTATCATTTCTATCTCGTACGGCTTTAAATCACGTGTTATTTTCATCTGAATTCCTTTCGTGATAAATGTCTTTCGTGATGACCTCCAATCTTCATATGAGTTAAAACGATGTGCGTTCGGTTGCCAATCTTCCGATTGTCTTCTTGCGATTGTCACAAATACACAGACTTCCATATGCGAACTTTTATGCATCATTTGATGCTCATTGCAACAATAAAAGACCATGCCGCACGAATCACATGGCGTTAATTTGCCTTGACTTGGCTCCTTGCAGACATGACAGATATTCGGATTGAAAAAGTAATCAAAATCACTTTCTTTGTATGATGCAAACTGAGTTCTACACAACATAATATACTTATGTAATTGATAATTACCAAATACTTTGATCGTTATATTAACGTAGAAATAATGCTGGATATTTGAGCGAAGATAATAATTCTGTACACGACAATTATGTATACAAATTCAATTTAGATGTTCAGTTTATAATAGCCCGAAGGACACTAATAATAAGTTCGAGTATGTTTTCGAATACTCTGCGATTTATTGACAATATATATTATAACTAGCGAAATAACGAATTTCGAACAGCCGTTAGGACATACAACATATACATGTATACAACATATACATCACGAATATTGTACATGTAAACTGTACGGCAATTATTCAGCTATCATCCGTGTGACACATATGATACGTGAATAATAAAATAATCGATATTAAATATATACTTACACTAAAATATGTATTATTTATTCATATAAACAATGTGGTGCGTATATATTAATTAATTAATTAATGTTATCAAAGTGATAACATTTAATTAATTAAATGTTATCACTTTGAAATTTAATTAATTAATTAATGTTATCAAAGTGATAATGCTGTTTTATATGGATATTCAAAGGAGGATTTCTTGATGAAATATTCATATAGTTGAAGTTGAGAGCTTTCCGAAACGCCCTATAAAAATTTTTTTTTATAGTGCTGTTTTATATGGATATTCAAAGGAGGATTTCTTGATGAAATATTCATATAGTTGAAGTTGAGAGCTTTCCGAAACGCCCTATAAAAATTTTTTTTTATAGTGCTGTTTTATATGGATATTCAAAGGAGGATTTCTTGATGAAATATTCATATAGTTGAAGTTGAGAGCTTTCCGAAACGCCCTATAAAAATTTTTTTTTATAGTGCTGTTTTATATGGATATTCAAAGGAGGATTTCTTGATGAAATATTCATATAGTTGAAGTTGAGAGCTTTCCGAAACGCCCTATAAAAATTTTTTTTTATAGTGCTGTTTTATATGGATATTCAAAGGAGGATTTCTTGATGAAATATTCATATAGTTGAAGTTGAGAGCTTTCCGAAACGCCCTATAAAAATTTTTTTATGTTGAGAAAAACTAGAATTACGAGGCTTCAAAGTTTGAGAAATGAGGGCCATAGAATGGGCGATAGTAATATTTGCTTCCTTACGAGAACTAAATAAACTATTTTTATTGCATTTGTATGTGTGTTTGTACATCTGTGTATATGTGTGAACGCATGTGTCAGTGCATGATCATATACTATAAACATGTGCATATATTCTTCATTTTACTCTCCTCTTTTTGCACACAAGCTTAGGACCGTCAATGGCAGTTACTTTTTTTTGTTATTTTTAAACCAAATTTTAATTTTTTTGTGTTTAATCTATTTTTTCTTTATTTTTTTCTATTTTTCAAATGTTGATTCGTGCATTTTTCAACTAAATGAGCTGTAATAATGTGGTATTTAATATTGTAATATTGACAAAGTAGTTAAAGTATTTAAATTTGACAAAGCCAAGTAACCGTTGGAACGGCCGCGGATGTATACACGTGTTTGTTTATAATATTCGATTTGATCGAACTTAGGCTCCCATCACGTTGTCCACACGTGAGTGAAATGAGGATAAAAGGCGAACGTAGAGACGATTGAGGAGGCCTTTTTCCTGCTTTTGCCTGTTCCCGTGCGATCGCATTGTTGCGTTGTAAACTATTTTTATATTAATAAATCAGAACTAAGTATACTACCCTTATAGAAATATCATATTAAGAATCATTGATAATTACTTATTTTCAGTATTAAAAATACTGGATAATAAGTAATTATCAATGATTCTTAGTATGATATTTCTATAAGGGTATTCTCTATTAATATCTCTAAATCCGAAAAATAAAATCCCACAATAATGAATAAAAAGTTCAACTCAACTTTTCTTCTGAGTTGATAAGACATAAATAATTTAAAAAAATTTTTTTCTTATTCAAAATATGTGAACATTATAATATCATACAATATATTTATCACACAATTACTTGTGTAATAAATACTTACACATATACGTACTTGGTTAATTATATTAATCTCATTTCTTTTTTTAATTAAATTAATTTAAAACATCTGCACTGTTTAAGTTAACATATATTTTTCGTTTTTGTTTTGATAATTTTTGTAGTTTTTGTTTTAATAATTTTTGTTTTGGTCTTTTTTATATTGGTATTTTTTATTTGGTTCTTTTCTTTGATACGTACTCGGCATCTTTTTTTCTTTTATAAGTATTTGTTTTTAGAAACAAATAACTTTTATATGTTTAGAACCGATTATATTACGCATGCATGTCAGCAGTGGCTTTCAACTCTGACAACTTGAAGCGTTGCAATTTCATTCAATAAAATAAGAGCGAAAACTGATTTGCAATCGATTATACATTTTTCATCATTTCATTGGAAGACCTATCGAGTTACCAAAAATAGCAGAACCAACAGCAGAACAGATCAACGAGTACCATGAAAAATTCATACAACAGTTGGTTGAACTGTTCGAGACGCATAAATACCGTTATTTAAAGGATCTAGAGAAGATAGTCCTCGAATTAATATAATCGATCTGAGATGTAGAAGTATTATAAATAAAGAAGGACATTAGTGGACGTTCAAACTATTAGATAATGAGTTTATGCTTTTTTGAGAAACAAGAAAACAAGAATGCTCAAACAAGAAAAATTGTCAGTTGCTCGATTTTGCTTCCGTGCAGAGAAAGAAACTTTACTCGTGTAGCTGATTTTTTATTGTCTGGGGATTATATATATATAATCCCCAGACAATAAAAAATCAGCTACACGAGTAAAGTTTCTTTCTCTGCACGGATGTGTGTGTGTGTGTGTGTGTGTAAAATATAGAAAATGAAGATAAACGTGATGAAGTCGGGCACAAAGTGTAAATGTAAATAGAATACACAATAATAAATATTACACACAATGTATATTAACAAAAGTTCTATAATTGTGGAAAGAACTCCGTTATACTAAAACATCACATATAAGATCATTAAAAATAATCAACTGTGAAAAGAATTTACTATAAAATGCGATTCACAAAAGGATATATACGAATCTAAGGATTATTATAATAATTAAATGTTACATGTTCTCGTGTTATTCTTGTTATTCTTATTATTATTATTATTAAGTTATTCTTAATAATATTTGACAATCCAATGCGTTCCGTAATATATTACCCGAAGGAAAAAAAGTAAATAGCTAAAATGGTGAGAACCGAAAAGAATCCAAGAAACCAAAGAGTCCTTCTCAATACCTATAATAAAAATAAATTAATTTGTTTTTATAACGGAATGAGTTTTAATATTGACTTCAACCTTGTTCTACCTTGTCCTGCCAGTTTCTGTTGATTATACAATCCCGAAAACCCATGCGAGTGAACTGCACGGAGATATAGAGCGGTATCCAGAATTTCGGGATGAACGTGTACAAAATATGATCTATGAATTTTCGAAGGAGGAAATTTTTCGTTGTTAGTAAGTCTCTCATCTGAAAGAAACGCTAATGTAGATAGGAATTACATCGAATCGATGAACGTAAGAATATTTGAGTGATAATAAATAAAAATGTCACCCCCATACATACACACCTCCATGTAATTATACATAGCAAGATCGCATATTGCATGAGTATCGTCGCAACGTAATTTTGAAAATCTGGGCAGAATTTCAGCGAAATCCGAACCGTAGCGGTCCATTAATTCGTCGAGTATCAGAATATCCTCGAAACCCTGACGAAATAAAGAACAAACTGATATTACACAAACAAATCTCATTAATGCTGGAATTTAGCAAAGAGAATAACTCAGAACTAAACCTACTCAAAAGGTACACTCTGATTTCTTTCTAATTTTACACAAATGTAGAAGTACAAAAAATATTTAGGTAATATCTTTTTATTTTGGCCCATTTTTCACGGACAGTTTATAGCTTTTTAATATTCTCACTCCTATTATCAACAAGTACAACAAAAATGCGTAAAAAATAAAATTGAATACAAGATATAGGCGTTTTTGGTTAACAAAGATTCATAGCCTCCAGTAAATTTAATAAAGTTTTTAAATTATCTGATCACATTTGTTTATTACACAAGCTATAACGTTGCCCGTCAATTAGAACCGTTGTGCGACATTGCACCCAGCAATTTTTTATACTTTTATACTTTTATACTAATAGTATATAGTATTAAAATTCTATATGAATTCTTTATTTATTTCTTTAAAAAAATTAATAAAAATCTCTTATATTTTTGGTTATCTAAACCCAGAACCTTCCCTTAAGGAGATTGTCAGATTGCCTGAAAATCATGCTTGTTTTCTCACAATTTTTTTATGACAAACTAAATAAGTATGCGAAAGTATTATTTTGACGTATATTTATACAACATATAAAAAGAAGAAAAATATAATTTTGATGATCAAATATTCAATATAAGTATATGGTACATGCAGTTAAAATTTATTTCGTTTTTCTTTTCAAGATCGTCATTTTGCAGTAATATCTTGGCTCTCGGTGGTTCAATTAAACTGAATTTTAGGTAGAAAATTTCCGTAAGCTTGTCGTTATCATGTGAACCACTGACTCGTGAAAATATTTAATTTTGAAATATTAATTTTTTTACTATAAAAGAACTGAAAATTTAATAATATTTCATTAAGATATTTGCAATTTTGTTAATTTTTACTCAATTTTTATTATAGTGATTTACATGATAACGATAAGCTTACGAAAATTTTCTACCTAAAATTCAACTAAATTGAACCACCGAGAGTCAAGATATTACTGCTAAATGAAACGAAATGAAAAGAAAAACGAAATATATTTTAATTGCATGTACCATACACTTATATTGAGTATTTAATTATCAAAATTATATTTTCCTTCTTTTTATATGTTGTATAAATATATGTCAAAATAACATTTCGCATATTCATTCAGTTTGTCATAAAAAATTGTGAAAAAACAAGCACGATTTTCAGGCAATCTGATCCTCTAGTCCTCTAAAACGATCATTAAACTAATTTCTTGGAAAACAGAAAATTATACTTACGTAAATCGTTCTATAAATATATTATTATGCTATACAACAGTTGTGTATCGATTAAAACAACTTACAGTATTCATTCCTTGAGCGTAAAAGGGAACCATCGCGTGAGCAGCGTCGCCGACCAGAAGAGCAGTTTTTCCAACGTGAAAAGGCTCGCACTAAGTAAGTCGCGCAAAGAGGTGATACCCGTAAATAATTTTATCGAAGCATATAAATTTCAATCATGTACGGATACACGGTGTGTAATAAAAGTGAAATTAACCTGAATTGATATTAGTGGCTTCGGTTCCAAAGTGAAAAAGTCCTTCAGCAGCTTCGACTCGCCCATCAGTCGCAGCAGATCGGGAAACTGCTCAGAGTAGAACTGTAACACCGCCTCTGGCGTTTTCAACTTCTCGAATATATCGAACGGCGCGAATAGATTGCCGGTGAACGAGCAGTCTTTGTTCGGCAACGCGATCATCATGAATTCGCCACGCGGCCAAATGTGGAGATTCCTCTCGCTCATCTTGAACTTTTCAAGCAAATCAGTCTTCATCTAGTATTCACAAATTTGTGTAATATTATCGTCAAAAGGTATAATTATTTAATATAATTATGTAATATAGTATAAAATGAATATACCAAGATACATAATTTTTTCTAGTCAAAAGAGGCGAATGAAATAATTACTAGAATTCTATCTTTTGATTGTGTAATATTGATTTGTGTAATACCATCAGTTCGATCGTGATCGTGCGACACTCACCTCTTTATTCTCTCCAGCTGGCACTGTTAATTCCACATATTTGTGCTTAATATACGTCTGAGCGCAATTGAAGTACAGTCTCTTGGACATGATCCTTCGTACTATCGAGTGCGCGCCGTCGGCGCCGATTATCAGGTCGGCTTCCGCGTCTTCTTTCAAGCCCGTTTTTGTACTGAAAATGAGACAGGATCAGGTAAGTGTCGCTCGCTCGTGCGATAACACTAATCAGCACAAAAATTGTAACCTTGATCTAAGCCGTCAATTTTAATTAATTTCGTGGTTCTAATGATAAATATAACAACTAAAATAAAAAGAAGCTTAGTTCTAATTTACATAATATACTAATAACATAATATACTAATTTACGTAACACACTAATAAACAACAATTAGAAGGAAATTTCTTTAAAATCATATATTTAAAAGTTATTTTTTTACTCCAATCTGGTGCTTATTGCAGCTCTATAAAAGAGTTGGTAAATAAAAGATTTATTTTAACTTTAATCTGATATACTGGAGCCATTTTAAATCGATTTTTAATTTTGAATTTTCTGTAATCTAATGAAATAAGCTTTTATTTGTTACACTAAATAATTAAAGTTGTAGGGAATATTAAATTTAAACACTTAAGCCATTTCAATTATACGTGATCAATGTCTCTATACTGTCAAATTCCAATTTACAACCAAAGGATAGGATTCTAGTAATTATTTTATTCGCCTTTTTTGACTAAAAAAATTATATATCTTCATATATTTATTTTATACTATATTACATAATTATATTAAATAATTATGTAATGTTTTGACGAAATGTCAAATTGAAATGTGTAATATTTTTTTTTAAGGTCCAAGTATAAATAAGAGAATTTTAAAGCATTAATTTAAAGTTATAAATTTCTACATAAACTCATACTTTTCTTATCAAGTTTCTTTTATTTAGTTTCTTCTTAATTTAGTCTTTTCTTTTATTTAGCAATAAAGTAAAATTAAAATTTGTAATCATTTGATTACATAACTCTGTCCTAAACTTGAAAGTATATTCAAAATTTTATATAAATTTTTATTGACATATTTACGGAACTTAACTCTGTTAAGAGAGAGAGCAAAAGAAAACAAGGGAGAGCGAGAAGGAGCGAGATACAGCGAAGGATAACGAAAAGGAGCGAGAGACAAACAAATGAGGAAAGATAGTGAGAGAAAGAAAGAGAAGGAGAGAGAAAGAGACGATAGCAAGAGATATTAAAGTTTTCTTATGTTTTTGGTCTTGTAATTATTAATGTTACATATTATAGTTAATATCTATGGCACAAACTATATAGAAAAAATAAAAATTCCAGAAAAATACAAATTATTATGCAAGATTTGTTGTACCAGTATAGTTAAACTTATTAACTGAAGAAATCAAGCTTATCACTTATTATATGTTATCACTCACTTGAGGAATTTCATCGTGCCCTTCACCAGATCGGCATCCATGAGTTTTTTATTGAAATTCAGTCGCACCGCCGGATACTCTTCCGCGGCTATATATCGAAAAAAAAACAAACAATGACTTCGCGGTCTATTCATTCACATTAAGTTAGACTTTGCGTGGAATCGGTTATTCGATATCGCGGCTAGGTTCGTTCATTATGAAAAACGAACGCTGCGAGTAAGACGATACGCGTGAATTTTTACGGCTTCACAACGGCGTTATCGGATAACAGTGGCGAGAAGAGGATAAAAAGTATCTCTTTTCCAAATTGACAAATTCGCTTCGAACAATTATCAACTGTGAGCTCGCGTTCGCTTTAAATAACTATGATAATCAGAATTCTCTCCAAGTCAAAACTTCATCGAAACAGTTGTCTTTAGATCGCCCAATCGTGCAGTCGGCGTCATGAATATTCTTTAAATCGAGCGTTACACGATTTTCAGCCTTACGCGTACAAGCATAAGATCGAAAGTCACATACATGTAACGTGATCGAAAATTGTAACGGTATAACTATCGTGACAACCACGCGTGTTTTATGTACACTAGAACAATACATGCGCGCGCTACGCGTGCGCCATATAACTAATAAAAAATAATAAAAAATGTAAAATAAAAATAAAATTAAAATAGGAAGAAATAGGAAGATTATAGGAAGAAACAGAGAGAGACAAGGAGAGACAGGGAAAGACGGGGAGAGATGGAGAGAGACAAGGAAAGACAGGGAAAGACAGAGAAAGACAAGGAAAAACGGGGAAAGACAGAGAGAGACAGGAGAGACGGGGAGAGACAGGAAGAGACAGGAAGAGACAGGGAGAGATAGGGAGAAACAGGGAGAGACAGGAAAAGACAGGGAGGGACAGAGAGAGACAGGGAGAGACGGGGAGAGACAGGGAGAGACAGGAAGAAACAGGGAGAGACAAAGAGAGACAGGAAGAGGCAAGGAAAGACAGGGAGAGACATATTTCTTCTGTATTTTTTTTTCGTGACTTAACCAACGCGATGACAGCTATTTGCCTGGTAATTTGACGCAAGCGACAAGCAAGCCGCGTGAAGTGGGCTAAGCGAGATTTTAAAGAGGATATATCAAATAAACCTACCGTCCAGCAGAACCACGTTCAAATGTCGCCTGTTAACGGAATAAATGGACTGCAAAAGAAAATATTAGCATGTCGACACGCGGAAAAGAATGAATGATAGGCGAAGCTACATTCCCGCGCGTATGCGGAAGGTACAGTTCGATCATTCACAGCAGCGAACCAACAAACTAAAAATAATCTCACATTTCCCTTGACACTGTCGTAAAGGAATTCTTGCAAACTGCCATCCTTATTGTGAACCATTCTGCCGCGCATGAGTATGCCGTGACTCTTTACCAGAGCATCTTCGAGACCGACCGCCTTCAAAGCCTCTTGGCCACGTAATGATAGCGCCAGATTAATACTTTGACCCTGCATGGCGTCTACTCGTATATCTAGAAAATTTTAAAACATTATGTCACTTTTGACACTGTAGAATTGAATAGAATTATAAAAATATCAATTGAATGTTTCTCAATCTAATAATTGATTAAATAAATGTATGTTTCAATTCAACTAACTGACAATTTATTCGAGTAAGTTTGAAGATTATTTGATTAAAGATCATTTAATTGACGATTGATATGAGCAAATTCAATCAAGGGTCATTCTGTGATAATTGATATAACTAGTGCCTCCCTCAACGTTCCTATTTACAAGTAAATATATCTTTGTGTTATTCGCCAATTTGTTTTACTCGCTAAAACTCAGTACACTTGTAGAATATTGAAAAATAATAGACACGTATTTTTTTATATCGGCAATAATGCAATTATAAAGGTGAAAACACCCTCTGAAAGATAATTTGGCATATTTTGTTTTGAGAAAATATTTTCGAAACCGTGAGAGATTAAAAAAAGCGTCTCAGATAAAAGTTTGATGACAATTAACGTTCTTGAAAATAGTATAATGAAATTTTGCAATAATTTGATAGTTTGCAAAATATCCCCACTACCATCAATTAATTTTGCAAAATTAAAAATTTTTGTTAGAACAAAAATGAAAGAAAATTACACGCCAAATTCATATATAACAAAGTTGGTTTCCGAAATAGCATTTTTGAAATGCAGAAAGCTGTTAGCAGACAGTCAACAAATACGTTCGACCTCTACATGACAAGACTATGGGATGACAAAACTAGACAAGTTAATATTGACAAGAGAACCCATATTTCATTCCCAAAATGAGTCACAACGTAATTGGCGATTCTATAGCAAAGACTCTAGGATTGCAATGTAATTTCCAACAATCTTTACCTGATCGGCATTCATAGACAGCTACTTGATGATCTCTTTTAGCGAAGAAACAAGCGGTCAGTGCCCCAACCTGCAACGAAGACGACAACGTGTCTCCCTTTTTCTTTCATTTTCACTTTTTCTTTCGTTCACGTGCTTGAAACAAAGAATCGAAATATAAAATAGGAAATTTGTTCTTTCAATAAAAATTCACGCACCAAACCACCCCCGACAATCGCCACACGCAGTTTCTTCTCCACCTCTGTCATGTCTACACCGTTGCGTACCGAGGGCTGTCGACCAACTGCACTTGCAACCTGTCGCACGCCGTCACCCATGTGTGTGTGTGTGTGTGTGTGTGTGTGTGAGTGTATAAATATATCAGGGTTGGGAAGTAACTCGTTACTTGAAACGAAGTTACAGTTACAGTAACATTTTTTTGATAACTATAACTTAACTTAATTACTTATTTTTAGTAACTTGTAACTTTTTTAACAGTTACTTTAATAGTTACTTGGAGAACGTAAAAATAAAATTAAAATTATATAGCAATCGTATATTAATTTAATAATCCAAATAGCACAGAGAATTCAAAAAGAATTAAAAAAGAATTAAGTCGTATGTCACCAATTCTGAGTTCATTTTCAGATGCAAAAAAATTCTTCAGAGTTTAGTTCAGTGAAAAGAATTATTTTTGCATTTAAAAATGAACTTAGAATTGGTGACATACGACTGAATTCTTTTTAAATTCTCTGTGCTATCTGGGAAATTTATCAACGTACTTATGGAGCATATGATTAAATTCTTTTAGCTCTACAAAGCTGTCATTAAATTTTTATTATATTAAATACAAATTTGAAATTTGTTAAGTGGATTGACTAATTAATGTGATAGATATTAATTATAAAATTTAATTTCTTACATTTTTGTAAAGCTTAAAGTGTAAGATTTTTGTATTTACAATAGTAATTTACAATCATTTCAAGAAAGTAACTTAAAAGTAACGACTCGTTACTTTTTGAGTAACTGTAACTGTAACTGTAATGAGTTACTTTTCATAGCCAGTAACTAGTAACTAGTAACTTGTAACTGTAACTAATTACATTTTAAGCAAAGGGAATTGTAACTGTAACTAGTTATTTTTAAAAAGTAACTTTCCCAACCCTGATATATATATATATATTTTTTTTTTTTTTTTTGCATCATCACGACTTAAAGTTCTTTTTGCAAGAAATTGATAAACCTCTTCCCTAAACCATTCAAAGAAAATATTGAAAGAATTATTATAATTGCCTTGTTTTTTCCTTCTCTCTCTCTCTCTCCCCCTCTCTCTCCTCCTCTCTCTCTCCCCCTCCCTTTCTCTCTCCGCCTCCCTCTCTCTTTTTTCTGTCTTGCAATATCTTTGATTATTATTATTATCTGAAATAAAGACAACTGTCTCAAATTCAGAAAAATATAATTAATTTTACGTGACAGCGTGTTACTTAAGAAGCGTCTTTCTTCGTGAAAAAGTAAGAAAATAAAAATAGATAACTAAATTTCCCTGTTTAAAAAAAATATATATCCTTATACGCTGGATTAAATTACATTTTCGGTTCATAATCGCGTTGCATCAAACATCTTTCAATTTATTACAAACATGTCCGTAATAAGTAATAAAAAGCGATCGCGTCTACACGCACTTACAAGTATAGCTTACGTCCAATCGATTCATTTGGTTGGCTTCATAGGAAGAGTTACTCATTCTGAGTAATTCATGAGACGAAATTTACTCCCTTGTTGTTCGGAGTAAAGTCTGGCTTTAGATAGCCACACAAAAGCTACCGAATTATGATAATATTATTTTAATTCTTGTATCGTATCTAAAGTATATAATAACGTATGTAATAACGCTCTCTTCCACTCAGATCAATTTTCTTGACAAAATCGTCACGCATTATTTGCCATTCAATATTTGTGATATGTTTACGGTGTGTTAACACAACTCATGTTTAAGTCAAAGTTGTGTTTTGCTTTCTCAATAATATATGTACTTGACACAAGTGAAGAACAAACGTGATAATGGCAACTAAGGGCCGGTTTTTCAACGATAGTTTAAACTTAGATTTCAACTCAAACTCTGTTCAAACAAAACAAACGCATCGTTAGAATAGAGTTTAAACTTGAAATCCAAGTTTAAACCGCCATTGAAAAACCGGCTCTAAATCATATGTACGAAATATTTTAGTTCCAAAAACAAAAATAATCTTTTCAGTGCATCGTGATCATCTTCGCCGTTGCCGTCACCATCACCGCTGTAGCCACAAGTCTTCTTCTTCGTCTTCTTCGTCGTCGTCATCGCCGTCGTCGCCGTTGGTCGCTCTCCCTGCGTGATCCACGCTGTCCGAAAAATCAAAAATAGCCGGTGCGCGGCAGTCAGTGCGGCGATGTCGACGGCGAACGACGGTTCGGCGGTGCGGTTCGGCCGATGGTGGTGGTGCTGGCGTAGAAGAAGGCGGAGTACTACTACCCGCGGCCCTACGATGCCGACGACCTGGGAATACCCGAGGACGATCGTCCTGCTGACCGTGTTGGCGTTGGTATCGGCCCTCCTGGGTCACGCCGACGCCGCCGCGAGGACGAAAGCCGAGGAGTCGGCCTCGCCCCGCGGCTCGGCCGGCAAGCAGAAGGAGGCCGAGCCGGTGATCGAGGAAGTCACCTCTAAGCAGCTCGAGCGGCTCCTCAACGAGAAGGACTTTGTCGCTGTGTACTGGTGTAAGTGTGCCGATGCTGATGTAACCGCGAGATCTCGCGGTCGACCTCGCGATCGAGTCGCGGTGAACGAGCGCGGCCCTCCGGCGACGACGCGTTTCTCAAATGCATTCGCGCGTAGGGGCGACCCCGCCTGATCGATTTCCACCGGCAATACGCGGCAGAGGAAGTCGACGGCATACGGATTCATGTCGGTTAATTCGAATTACGAATTACGTTCTGTGCAATTCCGAATTCGCCGTGGCTGCGCGAATGTCAGAATTGCCGAGCGTGTTCGGGGCTTCGTGAGCTTCCCTCTCCCTCCCCCCCCCCCCCCCCCCCCCC